GGCAAGTTTTAAACTTATATTAGAAGTTACCACTCGTTGAAATGAATTCCAGTCGGTTTTCAGATTGTATAGCCTATACATTTTGGGGTGATTCAGTAAAGTTTCTATTGAGTTCAACCAAAACAGGATCCCTCCCAGAAGATAATTCGTAGTACGAGCTGCATGATACTACACTGGATGCTATAACTTTGGCAACGAAAAAGTCGATTAGGTCGGGGGTTTTCTTTTGGTCCGGTGGCCAGTATGCAGGTGCACCTGAGGAAGAGGGGGGCAGGTTAAGGTTCGTTATTGCAGCGTACAACTGTCGCCCCTTAGGTGTGATTAGACGAGATCTTTAAAATATCCGGCAGCTAGCAATCTATTGCCGAATGTTTTAAAGAACTTTTCATATTCTTATTTGTTGATTGAATGTCTGGGGGGATATGAATTGCGGATATTGTTAACGGGCCCTTTATATCTTCAACGATAATACTGGTGGCCTGAATATAGCTTCTGTACGGTACGAATTTATATGAGTATGCTTTGGCAGCCAACTTGCGCTCCATATTACTATTTTTAGGGGACCGAAGACGAGTAGTTTTTGGTCGTAAGGGTAACGAGGAGATTCTTCACTGTTGTGATTTGTTACATGACTTGCTTTAGCAGACCTATCATTTCCTGCATCGCGTTCGTGTTTTGGGATTTCGTTACAGTTTTACTTATAGTTTATGGGGGAAGTTTGACACCTGGAAAGTAAGAAAGCATTTGATTCGGATTTGATTGTGAGACACCAGGAACTGGTCTTTATTGCACTTCATTTTCTGGGCGCTAGTGTTCGTTGGTGTTTTTTTTTTCCTTAAAGCTGGGTATTTAATTTTTTCCATGTTCTTATAAACCGAAGAACCTTTGTAGTTTGCTGGGTGGTAACCGTCGCAATGAGCGCATTTGACGTCATCTGACCGCGTTTTTCGTTAGAATTCTGCAGATACATATGTATGTATATGTCTCCCTGCGCATTTAATGCACACAGGTTTTCTCTGGCAGGATGCTTTCGTGTGACCATACTGTTGGCAGTTTCTACATGGGGAATTTCTTTGGGGCGCGGGGGCTCGTAGTGACATAGATGAGTGGTCGAGGTTTTTTTCTTACTCAGTGGAACATACATTTTATGTCCAAACCGGGGATGCCACCTCCATTAAGGCTAACCCATAGAACGCCATAAGCTTTGAACAATCTTAATTTTCTTTTTGTTTTTACTACATTGATAAGAATAGTGGATGCACTCGCTTCGAAAAGGTAAAAGACAAAGATGAGCTTTCCAACTTGTTTGCATTTCTTGTTCTTTCTTCAGAATTTGTATCTACATTCACATGTATGTACATCCTAGTGTAATATATGAAATGCATTAATGTTTGACCACGTATAAAAGGGTACTTTCAAAGGACAATTTGTGAAATGGAAGGACAAAATAAATTTTTAGAGAAATAAATGAAAGTCAAAGGACAGCATCATGATAAAAACCCTTTTTGTATAGTTTGTCAATTTTTTATTATTTATCAAGAATTGGAATTCTAGCACAGGAATCAAAAGCTCTTTTCTTGATAAATTATCAAGATTGAAAATACTATTGACAAGCGTTTCGAAATTGAAATTTCGTATGAAAAATATAAATTTTGCATATTAAAAAATTTGTTTCTATTATTAAAAACTGCATGTGCCGGCCTTCGAACCTGCGACACACAAAATTTATAGCCGACATCTCTACCTACTCGGCTACGGCAGTCAAACGCTTTTTTGCTTTTAAGTTCATACTTTTCATATGTGACAGTGAAATCAGTTCCACACATATGAAAATCATGAAATAAATATTGACAGAGAGTGCGCTGGAAGATTTTACTTAATAAAAATAGTAATAAAATTTATTTGCAATTATTTGCAATGGAGAGAACACAGAATTAAGCGGTAAATATCCACCCCTGATTGCCATTTTATCGTAAGCGACAAAAGGTAAATTTTACAGGAGAGATTTTTTTTAAATTTTCCCTTAAATTGGATGTAAATAGACAACAACATTATTTAATGCTAGCTTTCTAATAGGACAATTTATTTTTTGCATACCCTATTGTCTATAGGTAAAATGGCTCTTACGATATATTTCTTGAACATGTTGGGATAGTTTTTATGTTGTATAATATGGACATTTATAAACGCAGGGCTGCTGGTACTTTAGGGATTGTTTGAAAAAACTGAATTTTAAGAAAATTATTTAAATAAAAACACTGCCAATCAGCAGAATAAGCTCAACATATTTTCAACTTTAACTGTTTGGTGCATCTACTAGATTGTCCACAAATTTTCTTCGTGGAGACAATCTTAAAGCTCATTCAATTCTCTAACAATCTAAAATAACAATTTAAATGACGCTACTACTTGGTATTTTTTGACTTTTTTTTTAAAGAATGAGACAAAAGTAAAATTTAATTTATGACCAGAATTTATGAACACTCATGTTAGGGAGATTTTTGGCAAATTTCGAAAACAACTGTTATATTTCTGGACTCGTTGTTAAATCTTGCTATTGGAGAATAAAATTGCTAAATGTAAACTTTCAATCCCGAGAATAAAATCAACCACTGCAATTTTATAAAAAGAAGACTGAAACAAAAACAAAAACAAGTAAGATCATGAACATCTGAAAATTTTACTTTAGCAGATTACTGCATTTGAAAAAATTTATATATTCACAGGATACATAGATAGAGGAGATAGATACATATATAAAATATCATATTTAAACAATCAGAGGTATGGAAGATATACCTTATATAGCACCAATCTAAGTGATTTTCACTGCTGTGTGATCGGTATGTAAACCGATTTTCCCAGTAGACTTTGTATTATTCTTTATAGAATAGCTTACGAAATATATCGACTTTAGCTGTCCAAATAAAGGAGTTTTAGAGGAGGCAATAAATATGTTATAGTGACCCGATCTTTGTTAATTTTACTGTAAACTTTCTGTTGATAATGAGTGAAAATAGTGCGAAATTTCATGTTTCTAGCTGCATATATGGAGAAGTTATAACAAGGAATATCATATCTGAACCATCTTTTGTATGAAGGCTATAGGTTATAGCGACCCGATCTTCGCCATTTTCACTGTAAGTATTTTGTTGATCACGGGTGGAAGTATTGCAAAATATCATGTTTCTAGCTGCATAAATGTAGAAGTTATAACGAAAAATCTCATATCTGAACAATCAGTTGTATGGGGGCTGCAGGTTATAGTGACCCGATCTTTGTTAATTTTACTGTAAACTTTCTGTTGATAATGAGTGAAAATAGTGCGAAATTTCATGTTTCTAGCTGCATAAATGTAGAAGTTATAACGAAAAATCTCATATCTGAACAATCAGTTGTATGGGGGCTGCAGGTTATAGTGACCCGATCTTTGTTAATTTTACTGTAAACTTTCTGTTGATAATGAGTGAAAATAGTGCGAAATTTCATGTTTCTAGCTGCATAAATGTAGAAGTTATAACGAAAAATCTCATATCTGAACAATCAGTTGTATGGAACCTATAACTTATAGTGGTGCGATTATTCCGGTTCCGACAAATGATTAATACATTATAAAAATACACCCACCTACCGAATTTCATCCGGATATCTCGAAAACTGAGAGACTAGATTGCATACAAACAGACGGACAGACAGACAGACAGACAGACAGACAGACGGACAGAGGGACATGGCTAAATCGACTCAGCTCGATGTTCTGATCACTTAAGTATACATTTTGATGGGTCTATCTCTTCTTATTCTGGTACTTACAAACATCGGACCAAAGTTATAACACCATTTCACGCTCATGAAAGGTATAATAATTATTATTATTAAAGCCATAAAAATTGTTTTCTCAAAATAAAAAATGCATATATCTGTACTTATATTTTATTTTTAAATGATTATAATCAAACAAATTATAGGAAAATTGAAAAAAAAGATACTCCGCTGCCCAAGGCGTCGACATCAGGTCTCTCGAATAGAACGCCAGTGGTTTGGCCACTCGACCAATATTGAGGCAGCGCCAGCAAAATGACATACAAGTGCTTTCTGTCGATAGAGCTTTTCGCGGTATATAAGTTGGAAAAGAAGCTATTTTTGTAAAACTTTTGTGCCAGAACAAAGAAAAAAATATTTCAAACTCTATTGCCTTTTACGAATTGTCTTACAAAAGACTTTCGACTATAATATCATAGCGAGAATTGCCCTATTATTTCCATAGCAGACTGAGTACCACCAAAACATTAAAATAATTAAAAGAATTGATTGTTAAAGTAGAAACCAATTTAGACTAAAAGCTTTCGCTTAGGTGAAAAAGAGTGAACTTGTGCTCCACTTCCACCCATTCCATTACTCTTAAAAATATTTTTTCGCACAAAAAACTGCCACTCACCATAGCTACTCGTGCTTGCTTTCGCTCTCTCACGCTACCAGTCAAAGGTTGCATAAATTTTGCATACTAAAATTGCTCTGCCTATTGTCCTAAATGCAATTATATTGTTTGCGCGACAATCGCGCCCCCACAATAACCCAAAGTTCAAAGGTGAAGTGCTGCCGCTGACGTTGGCTTATGCCGACTTCCAACTTTTAATTTACGCACAACAATAAAAACAAGGAAAACAAAAATTGAAAGGAGCCACTGAAACAAATGTCACTAACAAATTCATGCATAAGTATAGCGGCTGCTGGCGGTGGATGAGGGAGATATGAATATTTGCGCGCTTTGTTTCTGTGTAATTCAGCTTAAGTTCACTGCTGATGTCGTCGAGAATGCAACAACGGCAATGACTTAATCAAAAGTGAAAAAGCAATTAATTAAATTTCACTTCAAAAGCGAACGCCAATATGAACCGCAAACAAGTCGCTTAGCATCGCTTCAATGTAATTACTAAATACTTGATGAATGCACAAATTTCTATTTTCTAATTTCTAGTTTCCAACAATTCGGTACTCACCAATTATTGTGATGAGTATCACCAGGCCCAGCACAACCGATGTGGTTGCCATTCGCAGCAATTCACCAAAATCCTCATCGCTTGCGGTCGCATTGCCGCTGGTCGCATTACCAACGCTGCTATTCAAGATAAGGTCACTTCCGTTGTCGTCGCTGTCGAAGAGCAAACTCGTACCATTCCCACTGGTGTCCGCCTCCAGCAGCAGTGTGTCGTTGATTAGCATCGCACCGAGGCCAACGGCGACGCCGCTATAGAAATTCTCCGCTACCGTTGTCGCTGTCGCTGTGGCAGCCGCTTTGGCAGCAGTCAGCACTGTGGTGGCAGTTGTGATGAGGGCGGTGTTAAGCGTCGGCACAGCGTAGGAAGAAGCAGCGAGCATGGTGTGCGGCGGCTGATGATGGAAGTGACGTGGTGCACGTGGCGATTGCCCTCGACTATCGTCTATGCTATCGCTCCCCACAGCATTGTAGGTGCTATAGCTGATGGAGCTGTGACTGGAAAGGGGACCATGTTTGTGGCTGAGACCCGCTATGTCGGCTGTCGTCGTCGTCGCTTCTGTGGTCGTGGCAGTGGCAGTGATGCTGGTGGTGTTGGGTGCATTTGCAGCCATTCTGTGCAGGCTGCTGCTTTGATTATAGTGCTCAACGAACTGGTGCTGCTGGAAGTTATAGGGAAGCATCGTTTGTGAAAGAGTTGGCCTCCTGGTCGGTGAGCGTCTGTATGCGCGGCTCTCCGTATTGCTATTGTTTCGGTTGCTTTTGGTGCTACGCCGCGTTGGAACGTTAATGTGGGAGGAGGCGATGACGTACGAGCTGCTACCACTCTTGTCGCTTCTGCTGATATTGCTTCTGCTGCTGCTGCCGCCGCCGCCGTCCCCAATGTAAATGTAGTCGTGTGCATCTGTAAAGAAAGGAAATTGAATAGACTCAGTCATTCGAAATTTCTGCCACCCACAACTTATCTAATCTAAAGCGCACCAGTAAAGTATGACTTACTTAATTGAAAGTGAATGAGAGTCTGTTGTAAAGGGGAGAAGGGGGGGGGGGATTGGTGGTACGGCCGATATTTTATTGTGCCTGTGGCCGCGAATGAGGCTTATTTGTCTGTGTCACAGACAATCCATAAATATGGCGGCGATGATGACATGGAGATTTTCATGATGCCAGCTGGCATAAATTATGTACTTTGCTGTTGTTGCTATTGTTGGCGTTTATTAGCCCCAAGGTAAATGCAAAAAGCAAAGAAATTAAAACATGATTTATTTGTTTTGCATGATTTTTATTTTTTTTTTTAGAATTGGTCAAGGTAATACTCAATTTATATTTTCTGCAATTTTTGCCAATTTTCATGCATGCCTACATTTTACTCTTATTTTTAGTTTCTTTTCTGCATTTTTGCTAAACTTTTCTTTTGTCATTTGTACACTTTTGGTTATATTTTTCATTCCTTTTCTTCTATTGATTATTTTACTTCGCCTTGTCGGCGGCACCCTCTCTATCATGCTAATTTTAGTTTACCTTTTTTCAACTCAGCATTCTTTCCAATTTTGAGGCTCAAACCGGAATTAACCGGAAAAAAAATTATGGCAAACAAAAACGATGCGATTAAGGCGAAAAATGTGGGAATTGTCATCGGCCAGTAATGAAATTGCGTTGCTCAGCCATTAAGGATTTTCGCCTGTGCGTGTGAATGCGTGCATGCAATTGCGGTTGCCGCACCCAAATGCTGTTCTAAGATAATAATATCTCGCCTCTGCATGGAGAATATTGGACCAAAATGCCGCATTTTTGAACGCAAAATACGGTATTTTGTTGATAATGTAGGCGGCAAAGGGTTGTCTGCCGTTTTGTGTTTGGGATTAGTGTAGTGCTGATGGTTTTAGAAAAGTTTACTTTCTTAAGGACAGCTCGACGACTAACTAACTTAAAAATTTCTTTTGTAGCTTACAGCTACAGAAATCACGATGCGTAAATAAAATGTTGAGCAATAAGGATTAAAATAATACCTTAAAGTTTTAGTAATTTTACACATTATTGGCGTGCTTTTTTGATGTCTATTGTTGTTTGCAGCGAAAATTTAATTTTAAAAGTCACAACCACGTTTTTCTTCTTGGAAAACTGTAGGCATCACAAAACGAATTTTGAATCAAACACAATAAAGGAGTGACCAAGGCGTAGCTTCTGAGGGCCTGGTGGTGCCTTGCCAAACAGTCAAATTTACCAAAAATCTTGTTATACCTGCAAAAAGTTTCCATTAATATTTTTTCACTATGAAATTGAAATTTTTCGACCAATCTTCATACTAGAAGTTCGTATTTGAAATTGTATGTATATCACACGTTTAACAATCTACAGAACTATTTCAAAATTTAAATTTTGTGGAAAAATGTAATCAATGTTTGATCAATTCATACAGTTAGTATACTAAAATATAGATGAAAAGACAAATAAATATCTTCGCCAGTTTTGGGAAGCTAAATTTTCTGTTAGGCTGAATATATTCTCCTTATCAAGCTTTTTAATTGTTCGACGAAATCTCAACGAAAGTATTGAGAATCATTACAGATATACCAACTCTAGCTATACTAATTACCAATGAGGCTTGCTGGAGCGCTTTGTGTCTCAACAACTTACCGCACATAAGTACGCTTGATTGTTTAAAATCATTATTTAAGGATCCCGTCAAACTCACGGAAAAAGTGGTACGGAATTGTCCTTCAACAAGCCTTGAAATGTAATAGTTCCTGAAAGTAACACTTGCAGAGTCTGGTATATGATGGGTGAATGCTCCGAGATGGCAACACTGGGCCACGTGTTAGGCTCCATTAAAATCCCCGGGCACTTACAAAACTACATCTGGGCTTATGGACAACTGCAAATCTTTAATGAACCAGTTAAGTAACAGGGCAACTCTTTGGTGCGACTTTGTGGATTTTGATGTCAACGAAAGAGCTGACGCTCTCGAAAAGCCTGAGTACATATGGGGCGCATATGGACCATTGCCCTTCTGTGGTCCGTCAAAAGTATACACAGTAGAGCTCCTAAGGGAAAAGGCAATATAAGAAATTTATAATTCCTTAAGGGGAACTCGGAACGGCTTATGAATTTTAGTCGAGAGCATCTGAGGACTTTCCAGGCTACCTGACAAAACCAAAGGTTTTGTAACAAATGTATTATGCGATTGTCCATGTATCTTAGGTCTGAGAGCTGATATCGTCTCTGTCAGGAATCTGGAACATGACACCCTCTGAAATGCTTAACTTCATAAATGGCCTATGGCTGGAGTGAACTTCTATGGGGCCAGCTCAATATATGCTACCATGTAGGTCGATTTAATTTCCACTCGTAATAGTAATGCAATCTACTCAATTTAAGTATAATATTAAAATATATACTTGGTCGGTATTACAGAGAATTTAACTTACTAAAGTTATCATTATAAAATATTTGGTAAACAAAACACTCGGCACACATTTTTATTTGTAAAAAATTTTAGTAATTAAATCTATAGGTAAAATATATTTTGGTATTTTTTTTTTGTAATTTTGGTACACCTTTTGGTACACAAAAAAAAGAAGTAAGTGGCAACCTGGATTCTATCACTTAAAATATTGATATTGACAGGCAATGTCTGTGAAGTTGGCAAACAATATGATGCAAGAGGACAAAAAAAAACTGGTCTGAGTAGTTGTTCAATAGTTCTAGAGTTCCTGTAAATTAAAAAGAAAGTTCTGCAAAATTGGCGAACAAATTTTTTCCAAAAAGTCGAAAAAGCTGGATATTTCAAAAAAGAAAAACATAAAAATTAAAACTGTTCTGAGTAGCTTTTCAGTAGTTCAATAGACTCTAAAAAGGGAAAAGAAAGTTTTGCAAAATTACGCGGAAGAAAACTAAAAAAAAAAAACGAAAAAGCTAAATAAAAAAACTGTTCTGAATAGCTTTTCAATTGTTCTAGAATTCTTGGAAAGCAGACAACAGTTCTTCAAAAATACGCAAAAATATTTTTTTTTCGAAAAAGTTAAACCAATAAAAATTAAAACTGTCTTGAGTAGCTTTCCGATAGTTCTAGAGTTCCTGAATTGGAAAAAAAGTTCTGCAAAATTACAGCGAAAAAAGGATTTTTTTTCCAAAAAAGTCGAAAAAATTTTAATGTTTGAAAAAAAAAAAGAAATAAAAACTGTTCTGAGTAGCTTTTAAATAGTTATAGAGTTTCTGAGAAAAAAAAATTTCTGCAGAATTACGCCGAAAAAACATTTTTTTTTTTCAAAAAGATTGATAAAGTGACATTTTCGAAAAAAATTAAAACTGTTCTAAGTTGCATTTCAGTAGTTGTAGAGTTCCTGAAAAGATTTAGTTCTTATCATTTTCAAAAATTAATCGTATTCGACTTAAAAAAAAAATGATTTTTTTCGGTAATTTGCAGATTTTTTTTTTTATTTCACGAAATGTAGAACTATTTTAATGCTACTAAGGACAGTTTTAATTTATATTTTTTTCTAACATTAGATCTTTTCGACATTTTTATACCCGAGCGCACTTGTGCACAAGGGTATATTAATTTTGTTCACATAACGGTTGTTTGTAACAGCCAAAACGAATCGAGATAGATATAGACAAATGTATACATAAATG